CACCCCACCCCCAAGCCCAGGATCTCCTGCGTTGTTTTGATGTTGCTATGGAGGGGGTCAGGAGATCAGCAGGTACAAAAGAAATGGAAAATTAGGTGTGCGCCAGCTTCGTTTCTCAAGAGAGGCAATTACTAGAAACTTGAGGAAATGTCAGATATGAATACCCAGCAATTTTGTGTGGAGTTGATGAGTCGCCTGAGTTAAAGCGTTAATTAGGTGGGACCGGAACACGTTAAAGAGTTGCAATATGCTGAATTTTTAGCACCACACTTCAAACAGAATTCAGCTGCGGAGGCAGAGACAGTGGAAAAAGTCACTCTGCAAAACATCTTTAGCTCTATTTCTGGGGACACCCCTAACATTGTTTGACTCCTACCTACTTATAGGGGGCAGAGAGAAGAGAGGGAATATGGGCATTGTTCAATGGATGGGGAGAAAAAGAGGTTCTGAGAAAATCAGGGGCAACCAGTTGAGAACCCCTTCCTGTGACCAAAATGATGTCAGAATTTAACAGGATATGAGGTCAGTGCTTGAATCATGTTCTGGCTTTCTCTCTTGCTCAGTCTGTGATGTTGGGCAAATGACATGAAAACAATCAAGCTGGGTGATGGTGGTTCACGCCTGTAATCCTAGCTACTCAGGAGGCTGAGATCTGAGGATAGCAGCTCAAAGCCAGCCTGGGAAAGGAAAGTCTGTGAGACTCTTATCTCCAAGTAACCACCAGAAAACCAGAAGTGGCACTGTGGCTCAGGGGGTAGAGTGCTTGCCTTGAGCTGAAGAGATGAGGGACAGTGCTCAAGCCAAGAGTGCAAAACCCACAACCAACAAAAACCTTAATCAAGCCTCAGTCTTATCTGTAAACAATGAAAGCTATTCCCATTTCTTTCTATTATATGAACATCCCAAACATGTTTATCTCCAGCCCCAAAGACTTTGTACTTGCCAGCCCCCCTGCCTAGAATCCTTTACCATTATGGCAGATACCTCTGAGCTCAAATGTCACATTTCCATCCATTTATCTCATCCTTTGGCTCTGTCCCTCATGGTATCACAATCTGAAGTCCTCTAGTGTATTTTCCTGTGTATTTATACACTTACTTATTCTGCCAACCTCCCTAGCTTTACTATAATCCCTCTGATAATAGTGAACTTACCTTTGTCTCTGATACCTATGTCTTCAAGCACCTTAAACCATGCCCAGCATAGTAGGTGCCCAGCTTAGTATCTGTGAAATGACTGTACCCTCAGGCAAAAGCTCACACTCAGCGGGTACTTCCCACATGCCAACCACTTGACTTTTTGTAATCTTCCCTCAGAATCACCTCATTTTATAAAGGAGACTAAAGCATAGAGTGATTGAATAAACTTGCCCAAAGTCAAAGAGGCAGCAAGTAAGATAATCAAATCCCTGGGTAGCCCAGCCCACCTTCCACAACACTGGGGCCCTCAACCCCTGGGGTGCCATAGGAATGCTGCAGGTGTGACTCTCTTACACACCCAGGAAACACTCACTAGGTGAAATGAGGGGGCCAGAAACCAGACCTCCAGCAAAACACTCTCCTCTGAAACCTTTGTTCTTTGTTCTGTGTGTGTTCACCACCAGCTCTGATCTCTCTGTGCATTCTCATATCTCTCTTAAATACTTAGCCACTCTGATGGTATTTACACACTAAGTAGAGATGCTGAATGTCTGCAATGCCAATCTATAGCTACCTTCAGTCCGGGCACAGATCTTTGCCCTCAAAAAGGGTAGATGCTGAACACTTTTTGAAAGGATTTCTGGATGAATAAAACATTTTGAAATGCTTTTCAACAGAACATGGCACGGCTGTTTAATAAAAGAGAGCTATTAAATGCAAAAAAATGCTTACAGAGCAAGGAGAAATCAATATAAGTGTTCTTTGCCTTAATAAACCTAATGCTTCATGTTTCTTTCCACCGAGGGCTCTTGCATATACTGGCTTTGCTTGAAATACCATCTCCTCATGCACTCTTTGTCTGTTTACCTCCCTACTTGTTCACCAAGCTCAGCCCCAGCTCACTCGTGCGCTCTCACCCTCTCCCTCTCCCCCCCCCTCCACAACTCTTTCTGATCACTACTTCCCAACACTGCTGATAGCTTAGAGTTAAGCATTTTCTTCTACAGTTTGTTTTTGGTTAATATTTTTCTCTCCCTAGTAAAAACAACAATGACTACTTGGTTCAGCATCTCTCCCCAGGACAGACCTCAGAGTAGATGCCTGGACACATTGCTGCATGTGTCGATAAAATTTGGAAATGCCAGGTTTACAAATATAAATGACTCAGCTTTCATAAGCTGATTTTCTGAACTCAAGACTTAACTGGTGTGTAGACTTACCATTGCTCACTGGGGGGAGAGGGGTAAAGGGAGATGGAGGAGTGCAATGTGACCAACCCAATAGAATGGAATAAATATTACTATTCTACTTCCCATCTGCAGCATGAGCATGCATCCTGGGGCTGTACAATGACTAGTTAATATAGCAGTACCTTCACTGTCTCCACTATAAAATGTTGTTTCAAAGTGCTTTGGACAAAAGCAAGAGTAACACAGACTTTTTGTCAGTTGTGGGGCTTGAACTCTTGGGCCTGGGTACTATCTCTCAGTACTTCAGCTCAAGGCAAGTGCTCTACCACTTGAGCCACAGCGCTACTTTGGTTTTCTGAATGGCTTATTAGAGATAAGAGTCTAATGGATTTTCCTGCCCAGGCTGGTTTGAACCTCAATCCTCAGATCTCAGCCTCCTGAGTAGCTAGTAGTACAAGTGTGAGCCACCAGTGCCCGGCTAACACAGACTTTAAAAAAAAAATACTAAGTGGACAGCGCCAATGACTAAGAGAATATAGATCAACTGAAATTCTCATATTCTGTTGTTGGGACTGTAAATTGGGACTAGCATAATCTAAGAAAGATGAAGATGACATGGCCTAAAATATAAGTATATTTCTGTGTAAGTTACTTCTCAGAGAAGTCACTGAGAAAAGCACTGTTCATGCTGGGCACTGGTGGCTCGTGCCTGTAATCCCAGCTACTCAGGAAGCTGAGCTCTGAAGACCAAAGCTCCAGGACAGCCTGGGCAGGAAAGTCTATGAGACTCTTATCTCCAGTTAACCACAAAAAAGCTGGAAGTAGAGCTGTGGCTCAAGTGGCAGAGTGCTAACCTTGAGCACAAAAGCTCTAAGATAGTGCCCAGGCCCAGAGTTCAAGCCCCAGGACCCACCAAAAAAAAAAAAGGTACTGCTCATGCAGAGTGGTCTTTGCATATTAAATACAGTATGTACTAGCAGACTCCTGGAGCCAGCTTACAGATACTAAATACAGATCTATATGTAAATAAATCACAGTGAGTTCATACAGTGGAATGCTATGAAGTCATTAAAACAGTGAACTAGATCTACCTATCTCAACACAAGTAGGCCTCAACAGTGTATAGAATGGGTTGGAATAAAAGAAGACAACAGCATGTAGTTCCCATCTAGGGAAAGAAGGAAGGAAAGAGAACAAAGAATGGGACTGGATCAACCTTAAGGAGACTTCAACTGTATCTGTAGTACCCATCCTTTCTTGCAAAAAGGGCTAAAAATGAGTTCTCTGGGGCATGTCTATCATGAGATGGTTTTATGTGGCCACTATTGTATTTTTAATGGCTACTGAAGAAAGAAAAGGAAAGGAGGGAGGGTAGAGGGAGAGTGGGAAGGTTGAAAGGGAGGGAGAGCGAAGAAAAGACAGGAAGAGAGGAATGGAGGGAAGGAGGAAGGGAGATGAGATTCTATTTTTGCCACTGAACTTCAGACAAAAGGACCCCCTCATTTGCAAAACAGGATTAATAGCCCTCAAATTTCAGGGCTGACCGTGAGGATGAATGAGAATCAAATGTGTCGAAAACCTAGAAATGCCACACTGAAATGGCCTTTCAGGAAAATCCCCAGGGGCCTCCCAAATGTGGCTCACTCTGGGAGAAATTTGGTCTGAAAATGGACCAGGAATTGAACTTGTGTTTGCTCCAGCCTACATCTGACCCTGAAAAAAAAAAAAAAAAAGAACAAATGGCTACTCTCTGGGCAGAAAACCGCATGCATCCATATTATATAGACAAATAGACATACCAGTTATTTAGTGGCTGGGACAGTCCTGAGGGAACTAGAATTCAGGTAGATGGAGAGAGAGGGAGAGGAAGAGAAACTTGCATTTCTCTGCTACTATTTTTAATTGTGTACCATGGATGTAGGTTACCTATTCCAAAGGAAAAAAAAAATCATTGTGGTTTATTTTTCAATTAATCTGAAGGTCATGATCACCTCTTCCTCTTCAGTTATAAATCCACTTAAAGAGCAAAGGTCCTAAGATCTAAGTTGTGAAAAGGTTCCTGAGAACTTACAGAGCTGAGCCCCTAACTGTGTGGTGAACACTGGCCTAGCATGCTTAAGGCCCTTTGTTTTATCCTGAGCATGTGGGGGAGGGGGGAAGGGAAGGAGCGAAAGGGGAAGGGAGAGGGGGAAGGAAGGGAAGAAGGGAGGAGAGAGGGATTATGTAGTCATGTCACTCAGGTGCTTTGTAGATCAGGGAACAACATCCTGGCCTCACTTTCTCCATTCCCTGGAAACTCAGGTTTGGGTCCTCTCACCGTGACCCACAAGTGTATGACCTTGTGTCCCACCCACTCTCAGAGCCCCAAATTTCATTTTTGAAGTTGATAAATGGTAGTACCCCCGCTTTCATGGCTGTGAGAAGAACCAAAGAACTAGAGAAGGGGTACAGAACTTTCAAATAGCATGGGGGGGGGTTGGTGGCTGGCCCGGGAGGTGACATTTGCAGTGGGGAGTCTATTCTATGAAATCATCAGTTCAATCCTTTCTTGGCTTCCATCTGAGTGTCCAAACAAACAAAACACAAAACATTACCTGAGGCCCCCCTCATAGCCTATGAAGTCCTATTGTCCTCTGCTCCAGAAACAAACCCAGCTCTCTTCTCTCCACAGCAAATATCCTGACAGTGATCATCCTCTCCCAACTGGTGGCCAGAAGGCAGAAATCTTCCTACAACTATCTCCTGGCCCTGGCCGCTGCTGATATCCTGGTCCTGTTCTTCATCGTCTTTGTGGATTTCCTGTTGGAAGATTTCATCCTGAACTTCCCGATACCTCAGATCCCAGATAAGATCATAGAAGTGCTCGAGTTCTCCTCCATTCACACTTCCATTTGGATTACAGTCCCGTTAACGATCGACAGATACATCGCCGTCTGCCACCCACTCAAGTACCACACGGTGTCCTACCCAGCCCGTACCCGGAAGGTCATCGTCACTGTCTATGTCACCTGCTTCATCACCAGCATCCCCTACTACTGGTGGCCCAACATCTGGAGGGAAGACTACATCAGCACCTCTGCACATCACGTCCTCATCTGGATCCACTGCTTCACCGTGTACCTGGTACCCTGCTCCATCTTCTTCATCCTGAACTCCATCATTGTGTACAAACTCCGGAGGAAGAGCAATTTCCGCCTCCGCGGCTACTCCACGGGCAAAACCACAGCCATCCTCTTCACCATCACCTCCATTTTTGCCACCCTCTGGGCCCCACGCGTGATCATGATCCTCTACCACCTCTACGGGGCGCCCATCCGGAGCCCCTGGCTGGTCCACATCATGACCGATGTGGCGAACATGTTGGCCCTCCTCAACACAGCAATCAACTTCTTCCTCTACTGCTTCATCAGCAAGAGGTTCCGCACCATGGCGTCGGCCACGCTCAGAGCCTTCTTCAAGTGCCAGAAGCAACCTGTCCAGTTCTACACCAACCATAACTTTTCTATCACCAGTAGCCCCTGGATCTCGCCGGCGAACTCACGCTGTATCAAGATGCTGGTGTACCAGTACGACAAAAATGGGAAACCTATAAAAGTCTCCCCGTGACCCCACACAGGAGGCACTTGCACCACATGGGGAAGTGTCTTGGTCCCATAGTTGAACAGCAGTGAGGCACGGGGCGAGCCTGATTTCTCTCTCCACAGACCAAGCAGCTCCCACTGGTACAGGAGAAAACACAAAACATCAAGCAGAGAAACAGGAGTCTTATTATTTATGTCTGCTTTCCTAAACTCCTGCAGACCGCCTGCTCTTGCCAGTCTGAAGATGCCATCGGAAGTGGTATCAGTATCCTGAGATCTGTGGGGACACACCGGGACCATCTCATCACCACTGGAGACCAACTGTTCGTGTAAATGACAACCATGCCACCATAGCACGTGGCTGAGCCACAACTCTTCCTCCAGGAGCTGAGGTCACCCACTGCATCCCTGTGCTGTTCAGTCCAGTGCTGGCTCACTGGTTTGGGGTTCTTTCCTTTTCAAGGTGCCCTTGGTCCTGGGGATGGTGGTGGTCCTGCAATAGCACAGAATGGCACCTTAGGGGAAAGAGGTGTAGTAAATTCCACCCAAACTCCGGCTGGGATCTCTGTGAGGAGTCCCCAAACCAGCGGAACTATGATCCTTACACCTGGAGTCTAACATGCAGTTTTCTATTTGCTATGATGTATAGATTCTCTCTCTCTCTCTCTTTCTCTCTCTCTTCCTCTCCCTCCATCCTCTCGTCTCTCTCTCTCTCCTCCAAAACAAAGACCCTTGTGCCTAGCGTACAGGGGGGAGGGAAAGGAGGAATTCTTGAGCCCAGAAAAACAAAAAAGCAAGCCCCTCCCTGCCGTTGTCTGGTCCGCCCCTATGCTCGCCATTGCCAGTCCCTTCACTTACAGTTGCTTCTCTCTGGAACCACAGGAGCCTTTTCTGTTGCGAACCCTGTCTCCTTGCCTGCTGTAGCCCTCATCAAATGGTGTTTCTTTGAAGTGGCTTCGCTACCTGAATGTACTATTTAAGGGTCAGGAATCGCAGCTCTCTGGGTATGAGAGGCAGCCTGCTCCTTCTAGCTCCTTCCTGCAGTCCAGTAAAAGCACTGCCAACGAACACAGAAAAGGGTGAGCTACGGCAAGTGCTGGCCTATCCCACGCAAATGACCCCGAAGGGCGGAGCCTGCTCTTAGGGAAGTGTTTAACTTAGATCCTTGGCAAGAAGGTTAATTTTTGGGGGGGGGCCGGTCGTGGGGCCTAAACTCTGGGCCTGGACACTGTCCCTCAGCTCTTCAGCTCAAGGCTAGCGCTCTACCACTTGAGCCATAGCACCACTTCCGGTTTTTTTTTCCTTTTTTGCTTATGTGGTGCTGAGGAATCGAACCCATGGCTTCATGCATGCAAGGCAAGCGCTCTACCACTGAGCCACCTTCCCAGCCCAGTTGCAATTTATTAAGTTTGTATTTATTCTCCCCTTGCCTAACTAAGGCAAGAAGAGTTCTAGTATATAATTCATAATAGAGTCTTCACTGGGAATTCGCACGCACATGACACACAAACACACACACTCACATATACACTCACACACAGAGACATCTGCACACGGGATTGCCCTCTGTGTCCTGTGATGTGTTTTGAAAGGGAAATTCCTGCTGAGCTCCTCATGTTCTGAATTTTGTATTGACCAGTTCCTCAGATTCCCGGGTTGGGAAGAAGTATTCTAAAATAACTTTAGAGTAGCCGCATGCTGTTGTCCGGTCCCAAACAAACAACAACAAAAAGCAGACAGTCTACCTGGAACGTTTGCTTCCTTCGGGCGGATTGTTATTGTATTTAGTCCCTAAATTGGATGTCATGTCTCTATCTTTTTTAAGAGTGTTTCCAACAAATGAATGGAGTAGAAAAAGTCCCTGGGCAACACAAATCGAAAATTCAATACAGCCTTGAGTCCTAACATTTTGTTTTATTTTGTGTTTGTCTGGGTCTGTCTGTGTGTGTCCACACACTGGTCCTGAGGCTTGAACTCAGAGCCTGGGCGCTGTCCCTGAGATTTTTCACTCAAGGATAGTACTCTACCACTTGAGCCACACCTCCACTTCTGGCTTGGTGGTGGTTCATTGAAGATAAGAGTCTCATACTTTCCTGCCCAGGCTGGCTTAGAACTGTGATCCTCAGATCTCAGCCTCCTAAGGAGCTAGAATTACAGGTATGACCCACTGGCACTGAGCTTATCCAATTTTTTTTACTTCTTTTTAATGATTGGAATGGAGAATCATGGGACCCAAGGATTTGATTCTAATGTGAAGTGCAAAAGACTAAAAAAAAAATCTAATTAAGCCCCAAGTTCCCCATGCAAAATCTTCAGGAAGGACAACCCCCAGAAAACCTGAGACAGCATCAAGGCTTTCTCCAGTGTTGGAACAGGTGGCTGGTTCTTGGGATGAAGACGAGACAGAATGAGCTTGTGTTGAGGGACCCTGTTGTATGGTTGCAACTCCTGTGAGCCTAGTAGAGGTACCTTGGTGTAGCACGATGCTACCACTCACAGGCTGGAGAAGTTGCTGGACTGATGGACACTCAGATTCCCAACCTTCCATCTCACTGGCTCTTTAGGACACAGGTCCAGGAAGTGGGATGGTGAGCCCACCCTCCCATAGCCCATCCATGCCATCGCTTTCTTTTTCTACTTTTTTTGCCAATCATGTGTGATGAAATGTACATTCATTAACTGTGTGTTTGACACAATGCCACCACGTTCCCTTATGAATGAATGCTGACCAAAGGCTACTTATTCTGAATATATATATACATATATATTTATTATTTATTTTTAAAACATACAGCTCTGAAAAAAAGAAAGAAAGACTAGTTGGAGCTAGATGTGAATGAAGCTAAGTGCAATATCTTTGTGTGTGTGTGTGTGTGTGTGTGTGTGTATGGGTGTGTGTGGGTGTGTGTAGGTGTGCCACATGTGGGGCTTGAACTCAGGGCCTAGATGCTATTCCCGAGCTTTTTTGCTCAAGGGTAGCATTCTACCTCTTGAGCCCACAGCTCCACATCTAGCTTTTTTGATAGTTCATTGGCGATAAGAGTCTCATGGACTTTCCCTTCCAGGACTGGCTTCCAATAGTGGTCTTCAATCTCAGCCTCCTGAGCAGCTGGGATTGCAGGCGTGAGCCATCAGTGTTAGGTTTATGTGCAATTACCTTTAAAGTTGAATCATTCCTCTTTGAGGATATATGGAAAATGGAAAATTAAGTCTGAATTTCAATCTCACAGCTCTATGTCTTTAATTGTAAGTAAAAAATTAAGGACTAGAGTTCATAAAAAAGAAGACTTTTCCTCAAACACTCATTATGAGTTCTCTTAAATGGTAAGAGTAGTATTTTCATCTTTTTTCCTGACTATCTTTTCTATCTTACGGCATAATCTTTTTTTAAAAAAATCTGATTTTTGAAAGCACTCCAGTGGATTGCTGTCTTTGACTGAAAATATATATGAATGTCTACCATGTAACGTGAATACATGTCTCCTAAAATTTATCTCAGATCATATCAGGATCTTTAATTTATTATTGTGTGTGCACATGTGTGTGTGCACATGTGTGTGTGTGTGTGTGTGTGTGTGTGTGTCAGTACTGGGGTTTGAACTCAGGGCCTGGGCATTGTCCTTTAGCTTTCTTGCTCAAGGCTGGCACTCTACCATGTGAGCCATATCTCCACTTCTGGCTTTTTGATGGTTAACTGGAGATAAGGATCTCATAGACTTTCCTGGCTGGGCTGGCTTTGAATGGGATCCTTAGATCTCGGTTTCCTGAGCAACTAGGATTACAGGCATATGCTACAGGCAGTCATCTAATTTATTATTATTTATAGTCATGAAAAGTTGGTTTTCTGATTTTTGTTTTTTTGTTGGTTGTGGGGTTTGAACTCAGGGCCTAGGCACTGTCCTTGAGCTCTTTTTTTATTGTTTTTTTGCTCAAGGGTAGTGTTCTACCACTTTGAGCCACAGCTCCACTTGGGTTGTTTAAAAAAAAAACTTTAATATTTGTAGGCCTTTTCTTTTAGGCCAGATTTAGAAATAAAGCGCAAACAGCTGCTCCTGAGGTTGTACGGCTCCCTTAGCCTCAGTTTTTGTGGTGCCTCCATTAAAGACTGCTCAGCGATGTCTTCCTTTCTGTCTGGTCTGTGTCCTTGGCTTGGACATTGCAATGATTCTTACATGTGTGCTGGGCCTGTTTGCTTGAGCCATTCAAAGGCTAGATGGTCTCATGGGGAAGGGGAGGAGAGCATGACAGACAGACCATGGACCAGGAGAAGGCATGGGCATGGATTTCACAAACACTTTGCAATTTGCCAAATTGGTTTTCATTCGTCCAGCATGACGAGTCTACAAAGTAAACCAATGACCGATGTTAGCCATTGCAGCTCTAAGGATAGAATAGAAGGACACCACCGAAAATTAGTAAATGTTCATATTTTCTTAAGTGGACATATATTGTGTTTGTGGACTTGTTTGTATTATAATAAAATCTAATATGGTGCGCACTGGTGTTTAGTTTGTGCATATGCATATATATGTGTGTATATATGTGTATATATATTCAAACAATTGAATGCTGACTTTTTTATGAATATTATTTTTAATTGACCAGTTATAATTGTGTACATTTACAGGGTGCAATGTAATGTTTTGATATATGTATTTAATGTGGAATGATTAAATCAAGATAATTAACCTTCCTACCACCTTTCATTTCTCTGTGATGAGACATTTGGAACTCACTTTCTTAGTTGTTTTGCCATTTACAGTACAATAGCATTGGCTTGGTCATCTCACCACACAACCAACTGCAAAGCATATCCCTCTTGTCTAACTGAATCTTTATCTCCTTGGACAGCAGCTCCTGATCCCTTCCCTGTCTGCCTTCCTGAGCCTCTGACACCAGGATTCTGTTTCCTACTTCCATGGGTTCAAAAGGTTTAGATTCTAGCTGAGTGCTGGTGGCTCAAGCCTATAATCCTAGCTACGAGGGAGGCTAAGAATAACAGTTGAAAGCCAGCCTGGGCAAGAAAGTCT